ACTTGTTACTGTGTTTGGCATATCAAATACGCCACGGGTAGCTTGCCAGGCTCTGCCGTGCGGGCGAGATACTCTTGCGGGGCTCTCCGAGAGGGGCGGAGGAATAATCGAACCTGGGTCGGCTGGGCGGGCCATGTGCAAGGCAAATGCCCTACCACTGTGCTATCGCTCCAGCCACTCACAATTTAAATAATTTAAGTTGTTTTGATAGAAAACTTTCAAAACTATTCAACACCATATTTAGTCGGAATAGAGGTTTAGAATTGCTGGTCTGATCATCAAGTGTGAAAAAAGGGGAAAATCTCTGATTTTAGAATACACTCAAAATACTACAAGAAAATAAGGCTTACTATTTCTAATTAAATATTATTTTAGACAATACTTAAGATAATCTTTTTGAAAAAAAAAAACTAGATTCAGTTAGTAAGCCATCTTAAGACAATTCCTGAAGAATTAAAACAAACCTTCAACATATGAAATAAGCCTATTTTGTCAAATGAATTGAATAATCAAAAAAAAAGTAAAGGGTGAAGAGGAATTTGCACCTTTATTATATGAACACTGTAGCTTACTTGGAAAAATGCATACAGACAAACAGAATGGAGTCAAGAAGCTGAAAAGCTCTCAGATAAATCAGACTGCTACAATTACATAGCATGTTACCAAGAAAGTTTTAGAGGACTCTGTATCTGCCTACAGCTGTGCCTATCTGGGTCCCTGTTTTACTTTATACTTTATTGTATACCTTACAATAAAGTTTTTGATGGGAGCTCTCAGGTTTAGAATGGGCTTCCTGCGTTCCTTTGCTTTTCTTCAGAGTCAAACTGTACCGTTCCAAACCACCTCTTCATTTCCTATTAAGCACAGAGCCCCACTGTCAGGGTTTCATTGCCAGGAAGATTATCTAGGATATAGATTATAAAAATTCCAGGAATAAGCATTTTAAATGCCCTAAATCTCAACTGTTTACACATAAACTGAATATTTAAGGAATGATTCTTTGCATTTCTCTTACCCCCCTTCTCCACACCCCTGGCACCCCAACCTGCTCATACTTAAGAAGACAAATACTATACTATGCTGGAGCCACTCCTCCAGCCTAATCTCTCTTCGGCAGGGCCAAGACATATTAAATCTTCAGTTAACATGAAACTTTCAGGATTTAGTCAGGGTTTATTTTTTTGGTGGGCTTTTTGGTTTGTTTGTTTTTGCTTCTTGGGCACACCCCGTGCACTCAGTAATCACTCCTGGAGGTGCTCGGGGGACCATATGGGATGCTGGGAACCGAACCCGGGTCGGCCGTGTTCAAGGCAAATGCCCTACCTGCTGTGCTATTGCTCCGGCCCCAGAACTGAAGTATTTCAGAACAAGTTTTGAATTTTTGTTTTTAATCTTATCAATGGTGACATGGGGGGAAAAAAGAAAACACTCAGATAGGAATTAGGTCAAAAACTGGCTTTCCTTTCTTGAGACTCAAGTCTCTGGAAATAAGTGTGAGCATTTAGATCCACAAGTTTTAGAACTATTCATATGTATTTTGCAAGGGCCCGTTTCAGCCGTGCTCCAGGATCCAGGTCACTTCTCACAGCCTGGCTGTGTGGGTCTAAGAGCTCAATGACAGAGTCCGATAGTGCCGACTGACCTAGAGATATTCAGGGGGAAGACGGGCAGCGCTTGACATATAAGGTGGTTCTTGGGGGTGACCAGGCTACACACAGCACTACTGCGGCCAGGTGGTGCTGGGGACTGGACTGGGAGCAATACTATTGATATAAAACCTAAAGGAACCATGGGATTTAGGGACAACAGTGGAATCCTGAGGTGTAATACCGTACTTACACAGGCAATGAGGCTATCATTTTTTCACCTAAGAACTGTCAGTTGCAAGAAAGGAATCCAAACAAACCCTATTATCTGAGAAGACTACTTAAGACCAGGATTCTAAACCATCCTTTCTGGTAAACTGGCCTTGGTTAACCTTCATGCATTCACATGTATTCACTGAACCGTGTTGGAAACTTACATTATTGTGTCATAAATAACTTACAATTACTTCTTTTCACATTTTGCTAATTTGGATTGAGGTTATTCTCAGCTGAGAATGTTAGGTAAAGGTAAAGGTAAAGGCCCTCCCGGTGATCGTCGATTTGCTCGAGCGGGCCCAGTAACGTCTCCATTGGAGACTTTGGTGTTACTGTGTCTGGCATATCGAATACTCTCGGTAGCTTGCCGGGCTCTCCGAGAGGGGCAGAGGAATCGAACTCGGGTCGGTCATGTTGGCCGCTTGTAAGGCGAACGCCCTACCGCTGTGCTATCGCTCCAGCCCTAGAATGTTAATCATCAAAATTTCTCAGTATGTCAGTGAACATGTAGCTCACTTTTGGTTTTCAGTGACCAATAAAGTGAGTCCAAAAAGAAAATGTGACAAAACAGTCCTCTTGTTCTCAGCTGACAGGATACTAGAGCCTGAAATTATGCTATCCTAAAAAAACAAAAAAAAGGCAAATGAATTAGCTACTTTTAAAAACCTTGCACTAGTTTGTATCAGGCATTTTCCTCAAGTACAAATTACAGTTTAAGGGGATTTAATCTATTAAACATAAGAACCTTTTAGAAACATGAAACATCAAGTAACAAATAACAGGAAACTTGGTTAATACTAAGAGTCTTTTGCCCAAAAGTATTACAATAGAACACGTCTGTAATTTAAACTCTGAACTCCTGTCACTACATTTGATCTTTTTTTGTCTAAAGTAGTGCCAATATTATAGTTTCTAATCCCAGGAATGGGCACAACTAATTTTTTAAGATAACTTTTTTACAAATCTAGTAAGATATTATGTATTTTGGCTGAGACTGTATAGCAGAACTCCAAAAAGCACTCCCAAAATCTTTACACTCAATTCTCTATATAAAAAATATTGAAAATGGAGAAAATAAAAATTACTTTTAATAGCACACCCACGGTGATTTTTTTTTTTTCTTTTTGGGTCACACCCCGCGAGGCACAGGAGTTACTCCTGGTTCATGCACTCAGGAACTACTCCTGGCGGCGCTCGGGGGACCATATGGGATGGTGGGAATCGAACCTAGGTCAGCTACGTGCAAGACAAACGCACTACCCACTGTGCTCTTGCTCCAGCCCCCGCCACGGTGATTTTTTAAGCAATCAAATCCACACACATTTATCTGAGACTCAAAAATAACTACACCTGAGAGAATTTACAAGCTAGTTTACTGAATAGATGGCAATTATTTTTTTTCCTTTGGCACGTTACAGCCAAAAAAAAAAAAAAAACCCTAAATCCTTCATCCTTGAGAATCAGGAAAAGGAAGAAATCTGGTGCCAAGCACTGTTTTAATAACCTTAATAAGAAGTTACTGACTCACCTATATTTTGCAAACCTACACTAACTTCCAATTGCTATTTGTGCCTATTTGGGGTAAACATCCCCTTTTAAATTCAGAAATCGTGGCAAAAAGTAACTTGTCCAAAGTTACACAACTAATAATTAGTGAAACGGAGTGTGCAAACAGGAAGTATTTATCACAAGTCTTAAGTTCCCAATCACAACTACTATAGAGTATGCATCGATCTTACTCTGTCCAAGATCATAATGAAAAGAAGAACAACAACTCGAAAGGCGAATCATGCTCACCTTTACAATCACAAGGAACAGGTGAAAGAGCGGAAAAATATGCGCACTGAAGAATCCAAAAAGCACTGTATGTCTGAGCACAGTGAAGTACAAACTTAACTGACAATTTCAAGGATAACGGGGATGCGAACCCCCAGGGGCTTAGGGTACCCTGCCGGGGAGTGAGGGGACCATCTTGTCAATCAATTCCTAACCCAAAGTTTTACATATCCGGCCCTGATGGACTGGGAACAGCATCCTTGGAACTTCTTCCCCAATGACCTTCCTTCCGCCCGCCCGGGGTTTTCTGCCCTGCCCGAACCCTGGAGGCTGTGTCTGTGGGCTCCTGCTGTGTCTGGCTAACAATACTTGTTATTTCTTTATCTCTTAGAGCACTTATTTGCTACTCAGAATTCCCCATTACTCAAATTACAAAATGACTCAAAACTGTCCCAAAACCTGTCTTTTGCAGATAGCTGAAATCACCTGCGGGGTGGGGTTGGGGGGGTGTGTGTGTGGGGGGGGGGGGGAAGCCCACGAAGCCACAAGCCTTTTGTTTGGTGGCGTTTCAAAGGTGGGGCTAAAACGTTAGGAAAACAAAATAAAACAAAACCCAAAAAAGTCACTGGAAGCCACGCAACTGTGAGCCACGACCCCAGCGCGGGCGTTGCAAAAACCACAACACGTTAGGGATGCCCGGGGACGCCTGGAGGGTTCTGGCCCCGGGCGGGTGCGAGGGGGGCGAGCGCGCGGGGTGGGGGGGGTGGAGGGCGGGGGGACGCCCCGGGGCGGCCGGAAGTGGGTCCCGGGCCGTGACCCCAGGGCACGGGAACCAGATTCCCGGGCGCGACCCGCCCGTCGCAGCCCGGCCGGGCTCGTGTTTATTTACCCGAGACGGCGAGCCCGGCCCGCTTCCGTGGGGCGCCAAGTCCACGACTGCCGGGGGATGGGGGGAAGGGAGGGACTCGGGGGGCCGCGGGGGGGACACGGGGCCGGCCGGGGGGCTGCCGACCCCCCACCCCGCCGCACAAAGCGCGGCCGCCCCGACCGCAGAGGCCGGAGTCAGGCCCGCGCCGGCGAGCGGGAGCGGCTGCGGCGGGGAAGGCGTCGGGGGGCGTCGGCGGGGTCGCGCCCGGCCCCGGGGGGTGGACACCCCCCACCCCCGTTCCGAGGGCGGCGGCGCCGGCACGTCCCGCCGCCCCCGCCGCGTCGCCGCCGCCGCCGCCGCCCGGCTCCGCTCCGCACCGCGCCCGCCCGCCGCCGCCGCCCGGGCCTCGCCGCCGCGCAGCCCCCCGGCCCCGGGACGGCCCAGCCACCCCCGCCCGCGCCGCCGCCCCCGACCCCCGCGCTCGCCTCGGCTACCTGGATCCGCTTCTTGTGTCGCCTGCGCTCCGCCATGTTGGCCGCTCAGCCCGGCTCGCTCTGACGTGGACGGGAGGGGGCGGGGGAAACCTCGCGAGAGCGCGCGCGGCCCGGCCCGTTATGCAACCTGCGCCGGCGCCGGCCCGGGCTCGGGCTCGGGCTGGAGGGAGGGGGCGGGGCGGGACCCGCCAGCTGGGGCTCCCCGGCCCGACCGACGCTGCACCTGGCGCACCTGGGCGGCGGCCGATTTCGGCGGAGGCCCGGGCCCCGCCCCCCCCCGCAGAGTCGGGGCGCCCCGGGGTGGGGCTTTTGCCCGGACCTTTACTGGGACCTGCGGGCTTCTAGGCGCTTCCACCCAGCCCTGCCCGCCCCTGGCCCTGCGTTGGATGCTAGGACCCCCTTGCACAGATGGGAAGACCCGGGCCCCTGAGCAGCAGCAAGAGGGAGAGTTGGTCTAGTTGGCTGCAGCCGAGAGCTCGGCCAAGGGCCGCTTCCCGCACCGTTTGCAAGCTGCGGAGGCCCCGGGAGGCTCGGGAGTGCTGGAGCATCTCCAGACTCCGATTCTCGGAGTCCAAACAGGAGAAACCAGGAGGCTTAGGAAGAGAAATAGGGGTATCCCCAAAAGGCGGGAACTTCCAAGTCCGGTGAATTGCTAGTTCTCTGAGTTTAGACCCACTACCTGAAAAAAAAAAAAGTCTGCTTAAGTTGCTCGCGAGACTGAATAGAAAGATGACTTCATGGGGATTTAAAAGCACCTAAGACTGTAGGAAATTAGGGAAATAAAGACGAAGGACGGGAAAATCTGCGTTTCTACCACTCGGAGAGAGCAGTTATCATCTTAATTATACTTCTAATATTTATTTCAGTCTTGTATGTGTTTGTTTATACATGTACCTCTTTCTCAAATTAAGATCAGACTTCGTATGTAATAGCCTTTTTTCACTCGAGGTTAGGTTGACAACATTTATTATCACTGCCACTGTCCTCCCAGTGTTCATCGATTTGCTGGATCGGGCCCAGTAACATTGTGAGACTTGTTACTGTGTTTGGCATATGGTATAAGTCACAGGGAGCTTGCCAGGCTTTGCAACATTTATTGTAGGTTAAGAAATTCTTCAAGTTCCCATATATAACCTAATAGCAATTAGAATGTAATTGAGATGAATTATGGCATACTGGTGCCTAATCTTTTATTAAGATAGCTAAGTATTTGGAAGACTTTTCTGTTCTGCCCGCAGAGGACAGAATCAGCAAGGCTTTAGTTTCTTTTACCCCATAATTTATAAATAGGGTACATGTGTTCAGGAGGAGGGTAAGAAAGACATTATTCTTACCAATTAACCCAAAACATAGTAAAGGACATGGAATGTCTTTATTTGCTTCCTTCAATCTTTCCATCCGAAATAGAGATGGACTTGTTCTACACGGTTTTCTTTCAAGAACACTGGATTCCTTTTTGAGCTGCCCAATAAATGAAAACATCTTCCTCCCTTTTTTCTCTTTCTGGGTGGCGGGGTGCATACTTGGCTGTTCCTGGGGCTTGCTCCTGACTCTGTGCTCCAGGACCATGCCTCGCAGTGCTGGGAGACCATATGTGGTGCTGGGCAGGTCAGCTATGTGAAAGACCAGTGCTGTACTCTCTCGATTAAAGTGAGAAGATCCTTGCATGTAATAGATGCCAAGTTCCTACTACATACAAAATGCCTGATTAGGTCCATGATGGGGAATGAAAATTCTTTGTAACAAGCCACTATAATTTATTGTTCTTATGCTCTTACTGACTTTCTCTTCCCAGACTACAACATTCTGGTTGCCCATCTACCTCATTAATAACGCATCAAATCCACTGTTCTTTTCAGTTAACAGTTAGGCATATTAATCTTTGACCAAATCGATGATTCCATTCTTTCTTCAAAGGTGAGTCATTCAAGGGGCTGCCAGACAATCCTCCTTCGTGTGGGTACCAGGCCAAGTAACTTGATTCCAAGCCTCAGTATATATCCAACAATACTCAGGGATGGAAGTGGGCCCGACACATGTAAGGCAAGCGCTTTTCACCCCTGTATTGACTGTTCTGACTCTAGATCAGAATTGACTATTCACTTACTCTCCTCTGGCATTGGTGATACCACGTTCTTTGTTCTGATTTCTCTTTGACTCCTGCTTTCATTAAGTTCAATTTTTATTACAGTAGCATTAACATTTATGGGTTTGATGGACAAACTTACTGCACCTTCATCACACCAGAGAGCCCAAGACCCTCCACCACTGTTCTCCTGTCGCTTCTTGAACCTGCTTTCTTAAATATTTCCACCCACCATGCATTCCTGTTCAGATTTTCCCCTTCTCTAAGCATTTGGGGGAAATCTCACTTATATTAGCAGTTAATTTACAAAATATCAGCACGTTTTTATTTTCAGCCATTATTTAGACAGTTACACTTGAGTGTTCAACTAAAGTCATTATTTCCCCTACTAAACCTGCCCCTTTTACAGTATTTTAAACTTAGTAACAGCCTCCTTGTTCAGTTTCTCATGCTAGAAATATCTTGGAAGCATCCCAACCATGTAGCTCAGCCATCACTCATTAATCTCATTAATTTTACAGTTGAGATGTTTGGAATCCTGCTCGTCTTTATCATCCCTAATGCAATAGCTTTGGAAAAATCATTAACTGCCTGAACTATTATAGCAGCCGCTTCCTTAATCTTTCTTTCCACTCTCCCCTCTTTACATTCTAGACCATCTTTTACTACCTTGCTTAACAAACCCTCTTTTCCATTGCTCTTCAGTTCAATGCAACATTGAAAATGATGAATTTTTGCACATACAATCTAAGTGTCAAATTTTGATCCCTTTCCATTTAGTACCTATATAAAAATCACTATATACATACCATTCATGTAAAGATATACCTCTGGCATGCTGTTTATAACTTTGAGAGTGGTAGTGAGCTCCTCCTGGCCACTTCTTGCACTGTTTCGTTTTGAATTTGCAAACTCCCATGTATCAGTTGACTACTCTTTTCCACATCAGGAGCATCCCTTCTTGTATCAAAGCAGTACTTCTCTTCTTGTCTGGTCTCTGTCACTTCTTTTATTTATTCATTTATTTATTTATTTTTATCGGTTCACCGGGATGTACAGTAACAAAACTTTCATGTTTGAGCTTTGATCATACGGTCATCAAACACCCATCCCTTCGCCAGCGCATGTTTTCCACCACCAAAATCCCAAGCATCACCCCCGCCCCCCGCACCATTCCACACCACCCCCTGCCTGATTGGCAGACAACTTGCACAATACTCTCTCTTTAGTCGCCTTTGATATTTCGAGACCAGTCCCACCACCACTCATACCTGCTGAAAAGGCAATGCTAGACAATGTGTTTTGCATTGCTTGTCATGGATACAATATAATGTCATCTCAGACTCCCACTGGGGTGAGGAGAAGGAGAAGGGCTGACTCCTCCCCTGTCCTGTGAGGCCTGACATCTGCCGCCACCACCACTCTTACCTGGAGCTTGTTTCTGACTTCTAGAAAATGGTGGCCACCGGGGCTCCTGGAAGGCAGGTGTAGGGACAGCACCTGCCCCCTTGTAGCACTGTCCGCTCGTTGTTCATCAATTTGCTCGAGTGGGCACCAATAACATCTTACAACAAATTGTGAGACTTGTTATTGTTTTTGGCACATCGAATACGTCACGGGAGCTTGCCACGCTTTGCCGGGCGACCGAGATACTCTCGTTAGCTTGCCAGGCTCTCTGAGAGGGGTGGAGGAATCGAACCCGGGTCAGCCATGTGCAAGGCAAATGCCCTACCCGCTGTGTTATCACTCCAGCCCGGTTGGATATATATATATGTATATATGTATACATATGTATAAAATTTTATTGAATCACCTGTTCATGATTGGGATTCAATCATACTACGTTCCAACACCGATCCCTCCACCAATGTAATTTCCCAGCACCTGTATCCCCAGTTTCCCTCCCCCAACCCGCCACCCCCACCTGTCTCTGTGGCAGACACCTCTCTTCTCTCACTCTCTTTCTCTCATTTTAGGCGTTACGATTTGCGATACAGATGCTAAAAGGTTATCATGTATATCCTTTTACCTTGAGAACTTGTTTGGAGGGCTGGAGCAATAGCACAGCAGGTAGGGTGCTTGCCTTGCATACAGCCAACCTGGGTTCAATTCCTCCACCCCTCTCAGAGAGCCCGGCAAACTACCGAGAGTATCCTGCCCGCACGGCAAAGCCTGGCAAGCTACCCGTGACATATTCGATATGCCAAAAACAGTAACAACAAGTCTCACAATGGAGATGTTACTGGTGCCTGCTCGAGCAAATCAATGAACAATAGGAGGACAGTGCTACAGTGCTATCCCTTTACCTACTTTCAACCCTCAGTTCTTGTCCAGAGTGATCATTTCAAACTAATATTGTGATAATGGACACTCCTCTATCTTAACATCCCACTACACCCCACACCCTTGTGGCAATTTCCACTGGTTGAATATTTTTAAATAAGTTGATTCTTTTGATTATCACTCTGCAAAAAGTACAAATAAAATAATTGAGTACATAGCATCAAGAAAACAAGCATAACGATCTGTTTTGAAAAGTAGAATCAATTTTTAGGATGCTCACAAACAAAAATCTTTTTTGTTTGTGAGCCACACTTGGCAGTGCTCAGGGCTTATTTCTGGTTTTGTACTCAGGGATCACCTCTGATGGTGCTTGGGGACCATATGTGGTACAGGAAATTGAACCCAAGTCAGCCACATGTATGGCAAGTGCCCTATCACTTGCCCTATCTCTCTGGCCCTTCACTTTGTTTTTTAAACTGAAAAGGTAAATCTTTTGTCATTTCAAAAAGAAACATTAATGGTACCAATCTCATTCACACACAGGGTACTCATCTATCTTTTTTTGGAATTCAGTGCAGAATAAGAGAAACTAATTTAGGCATTTTGGTAAGGCAAAAATTCAATTAGGGGAGTTACATATCTCCAAATCCTTAAAAAGTTTGAGGAGCAACTTGGAATTTTTGCTTTCCTGATTGGCAACCAGAATCCTGCAGCACTGACCAGTTCGTGGGTCACAA